ATGTATGTATGTATAATTTATTAAAGCAAAAATTTATTTAGATGCATTGTATGCCTCCCACTCTTTCAGGTGCTTTGTTGAGGGAAGACTCAGAATTTTGTATACCTGCCCTTTGGAGATGTGATTGGTTACTCAGAGGTTCTAAAGCCTGTTTTAGTCTGAGAAAAGCTATGGCACTCTCCCCAAGGAAAGTTACAGATCTTTTAGGAAACAAGACAAGATCTAGGAGAAAATTCATGAAAATTCATGACCTTGTAGTAGGATAGTGTTATTAACCAGGAAGGGAGAGGGTGGACAGAAATTATAAAGAAAAGGTTCATAAAATCATCTACATTAAAATGAGGAATTTCTGCATCAAAAGAAACTACAAAGAAAATGACGTAGAAGGTATGTGCAACACAAATAACCAATAAAATAATAATCTCAACAAAAGTTGAGATTCCTGGAAAAAGAACCCCACCAAATCAATGAAAAAAAGAACAGACAAAAATATAAAAACAAATCAAAACAGAAAAGCAACAGCTACATGTAACAATGTGACTCTTACCAACTTCATGTAAGTTTTTTTCAGTGATGACTGGAAAAAAGCATGGCACTCAGTTTGAAGCAGTGATATGAGTATAAACAACCTTATCAGCAGATTTTAACCCCCTCCTGTCTCCTCCCTCTTCACCCCAAGGTCACTGACAAAGCTGTACTTGACTAGGGTGACCTCACATCCTTATGTGTCTGGGACTGAGGGGTGTCCGGGATAGGGAACTTTCAATTTTAAAAGCTGGGACAAACTGGATGCCAGTGGCTCACACCTGTAATCCTAGCTACTTGGGAAGCTGAGATCAGAAGGATCATGGTTCCCAGACAGCCTGTGCAACAATGTTTTCAAGACCCCACCTTGGTGGAAAAAAACTGGGCATGGCAGTGAACACCTGTCATCCCAGCTATGACAGGAAACTTAAAAATAAGAGGATTGAGGTCTAGGCTGGGCTGAGTAAAAATCAAGACTCTATCTCCAAAATAATCAGAGCAAAAAGGGCTGCTTGAGTGGCTCAAGCGGTACAGTGCCTGCTTATCAAGTGTGAAGCTCTGAGTTCAAATGTCAGTACTGCCAAAAAATAAAAAAGCTGGACAATCCCGGGAAAACCAAGAAGTGTCTGTCACCCTAAGTTCTATTCCCCCTGCCTTCCACCTCTTCCCTCTGGCTGACACTAACACAGTGACACTTTCACACCAAACTTAGATGTGCAGATCGTGATGAGGAACCAAGAACATAAAAAAAGAAAATCTAGCACAAAGAATGAAGCTAGTCACACAGGCCAGCCAGCATAAATCAACCATGAAATCCTTTAAGCCACTGAAAAACCCACAATGGAAACGAAGCCTTCTGTGCTGGTCTGGAAATCTCCATGTTTATCTTACTGGTTTTCATCTAATCTGTTCAAAAGAACAAATTAGCTTGAGGACTATTTTTTAAGACTCAGTGTTGAGGCATGACCTCAGTGTTAATTACAAGGCGTATGCAAAGAGCAGTGGAACCAACATGCTAAACTCAACCTGGGAACATGTTAAAAATGAAAATTCTCAGGCCCCACTCCCAACCAACTGAATCAGAGGCTGGGGATGAGGCCAGCAATACGTGCGGGTGCAATGCCTTCAAGATGATTGTCCTGCACGCAGAAATGGTCTGAGAGTCTCTGGGTTAGGATATCAGCTTCTCCTCTGCCTCATTTGTGATTGATACACAGGGGCGACAGTAAGATTCCCCAGGAACTCGGGTGTGGTGTCTGGCTCTCATGTGACCACTCTAGGTCACAAGAAGTAACACCATCTTACATCCCGCCATCAGCAGTGAACACTTCACACGGTACCAGATTCACCACACCTTAGCATCGCTGTAAGAAAGTCTCCAAAAATGGTATTCTCTCTGCTCCCGCCTTACCTTTCCTGTATCTGCTCATAAATTAATTCTCCTAAATCAGGAGTTACTACAGAATTAGTCCTCACTGACCTGACCCACGGCACCTGGTTGTTCCTGCAATGCTGCAAAACCTCAACTGGGCTTTTCTTTTCTCCTGGTGTTATGTCAAAGATATTTTATTACTTTATTTAGTTTTATTTATTTTTTCTGGTGGTGCTAGGTTTTACACTTAGGGTCTCGTGCTTGTTCAGCAGGGGCTCTACAACTTAAGCTACTCCACCAGCATTTTATTACTTTAAAAGCTGGGAAGACAGGGCGTGAATTCAGTCCCCAGCAACTCGCCATACACACAAAACAGAGGGGGAACATAACATACATTTTATGAAGTATAAGCACAAAATCAGTTAGCATCTTATATGGTCAGATGAAGTCGTGATTACATTTTGAAAAGTGCTTTTGTTTCCTAAGGCTGTCCTACAAGGACTGTCCCTCTGTGGTCACATCCTGGCCGGAGTCCTTGGCCTTTGAATTGGAAGAACTCATACCAGACAGTTTATGGTCTCCACTCAGTACCTGTTTTCCGCAAGGTTAATAAAAATAATGATCAGCTTAAAAAAAAAAAAAAAGGCCTGGTATTAGAATTTCACTTAGGTCAGGTGTAAAATACAAAAGACTAAACAATATTGTATCAGGATGCAAATGTGTAGGTAAAACTGTACAGAAAAGAAAGGAAATAACACAAGAGTCAAAAAAACAAGGCTGGTGATGTAGCTTCATGGTAAAGTTCTTGCCTAGCATGTACAATGCTCTGTTTTTAATCTCAAGCAATGCAAGGGGGCAAAAAACCTCAAAAACAAAGTCTGCGGATGTAACTCCGTGGTAGAGCACTTGCCTAGCACGTGCAAAGCTATAGGTTCAAATCCCACACCACACAGAAAAAAATTAGCTATGTGAAGAGAGGAGGCTATGTGTGGGGGAGGTAGATGCTTCTAAGAAACTGAAAATATTCTATTTCTTACTCATTCAAGGGTTATAAGAGTTTTCAGTTATAATTTACAAGCTTTTTACTGTATGCACATAGCAAAAGTAAATAGATGCATTTCTACAGTCACGCATAATTTAGCAGGAAGGAAAGAGTTCACAGGCTCCTTCAAGTTCACAACCCTTGGGTTTATGGTATTAAGTTACAGGAGATCAAAGAAAAGGAAAATCTTTAAATTCTAAGATGGGGCGGAGGGAAGGAGGGAGTGTTGAGAACGGGAAAAGTGAAAGATTAGCAAGAAGCAGAAGTCTGTCTGTCTCCAGGTCATTCCTTCTCCCTGGGAAGACAGCCACACGCAGCCCAGGCAAAGTGAGAATGCCCAAGCTTGGTAAGGAATGCGGTGGTGTCTGAAAAACATGGTAACAAATGAAGGGAGGTAAGCCCTGCTTGAAAAGAGATGCAAACTATTGAATGATTTGTCCCCAAAGAAATAAAGCCCCAAGTTGCAAGTTTGAGGCTCTTCTGCAAAATATTCTCATTGCTCCGTGAAGAAAGGGCCTATGTAAATGGTCAGAAAAATGCAAACACCAATTCCTGAGTCCTAAAAGATACAAGGTCACGTCTTGGCAAAATATTGTCACAGAACCTAGAAAAGCCTCCACCAGCCTTGAGATATTAGGGAACTGATAAAAAGTCACAAAAATGCCATTTCCACCAGCTTCAGAAAAACACACTAACTACATGCTGAATGCACACCTGGTTCCCATCTAGTCTGAATTCGACACAGTTCTCAGGTACCTGATGAAGGTAACAGGAATCCAAGATGGCCCGCACTGTGTAAGTCTGTGTAATTCAATGGCGGTGTCTTTGCAAAGTTTTTTCACTGTATTCTTGAAGAAATAGCTACTGATCTCCAGCAATTACTCATCAGTTCGTTAGGTCTGGATTTACACTGAACAAAGCTATCTACTATTTTCAAAACAAGTGTTGTTCAACAAGACAGTCAAACGCCTGAGAAGTCCCAGTAAAGGGCAGAGGGAGTTATCTGTAAGGTTCCAAGACTCTACAAAGACATCAATTTGAGCATGTCTTCCTGTTCTGCTAAAATCTTTCCTTTCGCCCTTGAAGATATCCTCAAGTTTCTACCTTTCCATCAGTGGTTAAAGGAGCCATCCAGCCAAGCTTCCCGGGGGCCTCATGGAGGATCCACTCCACCCCACTCTCTACTGAAACTTTCCTCAATCTTTCCCACTTTCTTCACCTCTCTTTGCGGTCAGCCCCAGGGTTGGTTCTTCCCTCTAGTTTTCAGATAACTCCTGTGACCCAGTTGGAACCAAAGCCCAGGGAATTTCCATTGGGTTGACTGCCAGCCAGCCCAGGAGAGGGAAGGCCTTAGGCTCCAAACCATTTGATCCCCGCAGCCTTTGTGTACCCCAGACACAAGACCAGAGAAGTCACTATCGGCCCAGAGCTGATCCCGGTCCAAATGAAATGAGTGCCTTATGTTCCGCGCTTCTCTGTCCTGGGTGGCGGAGTGGGGGGGCGGGCAGAGAGTTTCACCAAGTAACTAACGCAAGTCAATCGAATAGCAAGGAGACGGTGAGCTCCGGGTGCGGGAGGGAGGAGGGAGGGGACCCGAGGTCCAAGTTCGCGGGACACCGAGGCAAGACCTGACTCAGACAGCACGTGGCTGGACCTGCTGTGGCGCAGGCGGAGCTCTCAGGAGCGGAGAGGTCGTTGTCCCCGGGAACCCAGAAAGATGGCCCAGTGGCCGGGTCACCCGAGACAAGTGACCACCGGGCGGAGTGCCAAGCCAGCAGCTCCTGGAATAGTTTGCACGGGAAATATGGAGTTTGTGCTCCAGGGCCACTAGAAGCCATTCGCATTTCCCCAGCTCGGCCCCAAGTGAGGACAGGGATGGCAAGGCCACTGCCCTCGGCAGCAGGAGTGGAAGGTGCGGGTCCCCTCCAGGCTGGTGCGGGGACTGCCATCGTCCGGTGGCTTTGGAGAGCGCACGATCTTCGGTCCCCACCTCCCCTTCACCCCCTCGCCCATCCTCATCCCACTCCGGCCACCCCCGGGGTGACCCGAGATGGCCCTCACCTGCGGCCGGGTGACCCGAGATGGCCCGGCCCCGGGCGCGGCGCGGGCCCCCGAGCTCGCGGCGCTCGCGCAGCTCTTCCTCCTCGTCCTCCCGCCGCCGGCCCTCGGCCATGGGCGAGCTGCGGCCCCCGGAGCGGAGGGGACGGCGACCGCGGGATCGGCCACCGCCGCGGCCAAGTTCACCTGCAGCGCGCGCGGCTGCGGCGCGGGCCGGCGCCTCCCGCCTCCCGCCTCCCGCCTCCCGCGCACCCGCGGCGGCCTCTGCTCCGCGCTCTCCTCCGCTCTCCTTCCCCTTCCTGCGGATCGCGGCCCCACCGCGCGCCGCCGCGCCTCCGCGGGGAGGGGACACCGGCCACCGAGGCCGCCCTCCGGCCACACCCGCCGGGAACACCCCCTCGGCGCCGACAACGTGTGCAAAATAAATAAACGGGATAGGGAGCGGAGGGAGGGAGAGGAGGAGGCCTGGCCTCTTCCTGCCTTTTCACAATATCCCAGTGTCAACAGGAAACCCATTCGCTGGATACTTAAACAAAAGGAGGAGGAACCTGTCCCACAGCCAGACTTGGGGCGATGCAGGCGACAGCTGGGAGCGAACTTGGCTTGGAGTTGAGTCAGCCTCTGCCGTGCACACTTTTCCCTTTTCTTTTTTTTCTCACCCTTTAAAAATCCACTTCGCCGGTGCACGGAGGATTTCTAGGGCTGTGAAACTACAGTGTATGATACAGCTCATTATACACTTGTCCACACCCATCCAACGCTCAACATCAAAAGTAACCTCAATGCAAACTATAGGTTTTGGGTGATAAAGATGTGTCAGTCAGTGGGATGTGGTGGGGGGGCACGCCTGTAGTCCCAGCTACTTGGGAGGAGCAGGTGAGAAGATCATATTCCATGACCAGCTAGAGCAAAGGTGAGAGAGCCTATCTGAAAAAAACAAAGTAAAACCAAAAGGACTTGGGGTGTGGCTCAAGGAGTAGAGTGCTTATGGGTGGCCCTGAGTTCAAATCCCCGTACTGAAAAAAAATGTCAGCGTAGGTTCTGCAGCTGTAACAAAGGTACTGCTCTGTGGTGGGGGTGACAATAATGAGGGGGAAGCTTTTTTACATGGAGAGCTTTGTACCTTCATTTCAATTTTGCTGTGAATCTAAAACCGATCAAAAAAAAAAACTAATTATTTCTTTAAATGATTAATAAGGCTGGGGAGTGCTTGCCCAGCATGCATGAAGCCCTGGGTTCAATCCCCAGCACTGCAAAAGTAAGTAAATAAATAAATAGTCTCACTGTATTCCAGTTAGTTCAGGGTTAGTAAACACAATCAGAGGACAGGCAGAAAAAGTGTTTAAGGCCTCCATACCTGATATTTATGGGGAGATGATTTGGTCACGTGGCAAGGGCGCTGGCTTTGGAGTCAGAGACTGTGTAATTTGAAGCACTTAGCTGTGGGCCCTTCTTCCCTCCCCACCCCCTTCTCAAAGCTGGCAAGGCCAGGTAAGAAGCACTGGTGTGTTACCCTCTAATCCACCTGAGATCAGTGGGTGCACACGCATAGCTTTCACGCAGAGAGGCAAATTCTAGAGTGTCACTATTACACCTAAGCACATGGTAGGAGCCCTGCCGGGAAGGAGCCCTTAGGAAATGTGCGTGGGAGGGACAGGCCTTATCTTCAGCCTCTTGCTGTACTCCAGACACTGTGAGTGCCTCAAGTTCAGCATGCAAGCCAGAAACAGAAAAGAGAAAGGGGACACGAAACAGAACTGCCTGCACTATTTGTTTGCCTTTCCAACAGAAAGTCTGTCCACTTTAAGCAGATAAGAACCATAATTGATTTTGAGGAATTGAGGTCAAGTCCACAAGTTTAATACTGCATGAGCTGTTGAGTAAATAGGCACTTGGAGAACTGGAAATGAAACCCTGGGAGGGGGTGGATTCTAGACCGCTAAGGCTGTGTTAAGTGTCTGGGTTCACCTGAAGTTCAAGTGTATCTGTCACGTACCTTTAAGGATGAGAAATCATTTGGCTGGCCCCAGGTTTAACAACAGCACAACTTCTCTGAGCTGTTGGGGTCGGTCTTAGTTTGGGAAGTTATTCTAGATCGTGTCCCATCAGAGCTCTGATCACCCTCGCCCTTCTTGTGGGGTGCCTTAGCAAACACGCTAACTATTGTGCACTAGCTAGGTGCGATGGGGACACTGGAGAGAAGTGTCCCTAGCAGGGTCTCTGGCGGATGCTTTCACATATGCTTTTCTCATTTTACAGCACTGGGGACTGAACCTCACGCATGCCAGGCAAGCATTCTACCCCTAGATCACGCCCCCAGCCCTTGTTCTACTCATTTCAAATGAACAAAACATGGTCCTTGTCTTCCAATGACGGAGAAAGATCTGTCCAGGTTGCCACAAAACAAGGCAAAATTTGAGAAGTTCAATAATAAAAATAAAACTTCAGACAAAGATGCTGGGATGATTCAGTGGAGGAGGGATTGTCTTTAGATAGATAATAGGTAGATAGACGTTATTGTTATGCTGGGGGTACACTGTGACATTTACCAAAGCTCTTACACTATATCATAGTCGAATTCACCCCTCCATCACTCTTCTAGGAACTGTCTTTACAGTGACATGTCAACATTGCAAAAGAATGAATCTGAACCCCTACCTCATACCATATACAAAAATTAACTCAACATGGACCATAGACCTAACTATAAAAGCCAGAACTATAAAACTTCAATGAAAACATAGTATTAATCTCTGTGACCTTAAAATAGGAGAAAAAAGTTCATAGATGCAACCCCAAAGTACAAAGGCAACAGAAGAAAATCCAAGTTGGACCTCCACAAAATTAAAAACGTTTGTGCTTCAAAAACATCAAGAAAGTGGAGCCAGGCACTGGGGACTCACGCCTGTAATCCTAGCTACTCAGGAGGCAGAGATCAGGAGGATCGCAGTTCAGAGCCTGCCTGGGCAAATAGTTCAGAAAACCCCATCTCGAAAAGCCCTTCACAAAAATAGGGCTGGTGGAGTGGCTCAAGGTGAAGGCCCTGAGTTCAAGTCCCAGTACTGCAAAAAGAAAAAAGAAAAAAAAAAGAAAGTGGAAAGGCAGAATAGGAGAAAATGTTTGAAAGTCACATTTCTGATAAGGAACTTGCATTCAGAATATATTTTTTAGAATCTTTATAACTTAGAAATATTTTTAAAAGTCAATTAATTAAAAAATTGACATTCTTTGCCAGGCACCAGGCACCTATAATCCTGGCTACTTAGGTGGCAGAGATCAGGAGGATCTTGGTTCGAAGCCAGCCCCAGGCAAATAGCTCCTGAGATCTTATCTCAAAAAAAAAAAAATCCATCACCAAAAAAGGGTGGTGGAGTGGCTCAAGCAGTAAGAGAGCCTGCCTAGCAATTGTGAGGCCCTAGTTCAAATCCCAGTGCCACCAATATATATATATATAAATATATATATATATAGAGAGAAAGAGATTGAATAGATAGATAGATAGATACAGACATTATTCAAATACAAACGGCCAATAAAAACTAAATGAGAATCCAGGCATGATGACACACACCTGAAATTCTAGCACTCAGGAGGCTGAGGCAAGAGAATCATGCTTGCATCCAACCTGGGCTACATATCCAGAATTTTCTAAAGATAGAAAATGTAGGGGGGGGGCGGGGAGGAAAGGAAAGAAAGAAGAAGAAAGAAAAGAACATGAACAGTTTCTCACCTTCATCACTTGTTAGGGGAATGTAAATAAAAAATTGCATGGCGTGCAGCTTCACACCTACTAGAATGTCTAAACACAAAAATAGGTGACAGCAAGTGTCAACGAGGATAGAGAGAAAATGCAGGCCTCACACGTGATGAGAGGGATATAAAATGGTACAGCCAGTTTGGAAAAGAGTTTGACAATTTCTCAAAAAGTTACACTGAAAGTTGCTGTATAAGGCAGCAATTCTAATTCTAAGAGAACTAGAATATCTAAGAGAAAGGAAAAGACGTCCCCACACATCTTGTATATGAATGCTCGAGTGACATCATTCATGATACCCCCAAAGTAGATACAACTAAATGTCCACCAACTGGTAAAATTGGAATGGATAAGCAAAATGCAGCATATCCATGCAGTGGAGTATTATTCAGCTGTGAAAATGAAACAGATACAGGGTACAACATAGATGAGCCTTGAGAACATCATGCTAAGTTAAAGAGGCTAGAGACGAAGGATCCCTGTGAGGTATGATTCTGTTTAAGTGTCCAGAATAGAGACAAAACTTAGATTAGTGGTTGCCAGAGGGAGGAGGAATGGAGCGATGGCTCTGAGTACAGGATTTCTTTTTTGGGGGTGATGAAAGTATTCGTGAGCCATAAGTAATGATGGTTGCACAATTTTCTATACAAAGGGATGAATTTTACAATATGCTAAATACTAAAGGATGGATTTGATGGTTTGTGAAGTATATTTTTCAATAAAGCTGTCTAAAATAAAAACTATAATCAACTCACCATGAAAACACAGGAAGCAGAGGCCAGGGAGAGGAATGAATGCATTCTGAAGTGATCCTATTGAAACAGAAAAACCAGGCAGAAGTTACAAGCAACAGCAATTCACTCCTATGAAAGAAAAGCAAAGGCGGGGCCAGCTAGCAACTAGATAAACAGGAGAAAACACCCCACCCTCCCAGGCACACAAGGGCCAAAACATAGAAGGAGGATGACAAGTAACTACGAATGGGAACTTAGAAAGAACAGAGCAAGAGTCGCCTTCAAAGCTTTTGAGGTGTTAAGAAAAAAATGTAAGAGACATTGAAGGAGGTGCCCCACCAACTGAGAGGCACAGGTAGAAGGGTCAAGGTGCAAAGAAATCTGAGACCTTGTCTGAGAAACAGCTAAAGCAAAAAAGGGCGGGGGATTTGACTTAAGAGTTAGAACACTTGCCTAGCAAGTGAGGCCTTGAGTTCAAACTTGAGTTCTGCCACACACACATACAAAAAAGCCCTCTTACCAGGGAAAAGGTTTTTTGACTTTTCACTTTAGGGATAGAGCCATAAGTGTGTGGGAAGGGAATACTACAAACAGTAGAATATGAGGTGTGAATATGTGTGCTTCAGTGTTTGGCACCAGAAGCACAAGAGATAGTTGTTTAATGACTGAAAGACATTTTTTTTTCTTATAAATCACCAGAAATATAAGTCTTGAGCCCTTTAATTTAAATAAGAAGTTACTGTCTGGAATGAAAAGTTTACAGCTTGTGACCTCAAAGAAGAAAGA